CTGCCCCAGCCCCGCGCACCATCCACTCCGCCTACCGATACCTTGCTCCGTCACCCGCGAACGTCGTCAATCGCCCTCTATCAGCAGCTCCAACGTCTCCAACATCCTCTTGCTGAGGGGAGTTGTCGCTCGTTTGGCATCCTTCCGCTCGATCAGTATGCTCCTTTCTCTCTGCTACTCCTCTTCTCGGTATTCCTGTCAGCAGTCTTTCTGGAATCCGTTTCCAAGAGGGACAACAGTTTTGGCGAGCATAGCACCCGACGGTTGCAAAAGCTGAACGTCCTCCTGTCCAAAATTGCTGTGCTGCATGCAGTCCCTCCCTTTCACAACTGGTTGGACTCATCACCTTTCCGAGAAATGATGGCTGTGAGCCGCGCCCGCAGTGGAGAGTGCCTAGCCGTTCATTTCTCTCTTCGTCCAAAAAAGGCAGTGCCAGCCCTGCAGTTTCACATATTGTAGACAGAGATGGAGGGCCCAGACAGTCTTGTGAGGCATGTTCCCGGATCCTCTGCCAAAGTGTCACGGTGCAGCGCCGACCGTGTTGGAGCTCGTAACTTACGGTCAGGGAACACGTACAATGTTCATTTAACGCCCCACTGGGTGAACCGTGGTGCCGGCTCAGCGCACCAGCAAACTTAGACATGTCACGAGCTATTTTGCCACAACCACAGTTTGCACGTTCCTTGGTTACAGCAAAGATGTACGCCCCTCTACACACTCTTCTTCCGCGATTTGTCCTCAGCCCGCCACCACGCCCGTGCCAAGTCCCATTACCCGGACACGGACATATCACATATGTTGCATGGCGCAACAGGTGTCCACGCTGTGCTTGCCACCTGGTATTGCCTTTGCGCGAACGTAGTCCACACAGGGGAGTAACTTCTGAGTGTTAATGAACAGAGAAATATCGACAGATGGCAGCTCTTCGCGCAAACTGAAAATCGGAACCATGTTGACCCGACAACGGAAAGGATCATGCGTGTCTGCTCTTGCGTCAAGGATGGTTGTGCCATTGCGCCATTCATGGCACACGAGTTTCAATCTAGGTTGTCAAGCAGGTTCCTAAAATCCACCATCCCACTGCAAGACATTCCTTTACAAATGTCCACGTAAATACTGTGCATGGCATTTCAGCTCATTCCTACTACACCGTCAAAGCTCACCCTCCTTGAGCTGCAGCGGCTGCAGAACTGTAATTTCCACTGCTCACCCTGATCGCGACGTTACAACAAGGGTGGAATTCAACCCTAGACATGTTAGGACCGCCTTTACGGATTCAGCAGAAAGGGCCATCAACCAATTTTCCTGATGTTACAAGCGAGATAAAGGTTACTCCCCAGTGTAACTTCTGTATGTCAGCCCTATGGCAGCTCATGCCGTGACACCTTGCGCTTGCTCAGGCCCTGTTTAGAGGAGGCCACTCTATTCGTGGAGACGGCAGGACACTATCTTTTTCTGGATAACGAAACGACGTCATTTCCCTCTGTTGCATGTCACTGAGAAACAAATGCTGTTAACAATGGCTGGTCAGGGTGCTTGTAGACGTGGCGCACAGATCTCAACGCCACATGACCCCAGAGTGGGCAGGACAGGTAGAAGAGGAGGGGAGGTAGAGGAGGATCACATTTGTGCTCAGTAAATTTAGTTGAGTGAAAATGGGTGGATTTAATCCTACTCCAGCGGACAGGAAGTGGAGGAGCAGAAGGCATCTGGTAGAGGAGGCAGGATACAGAGGACCCAGATCGCACCGTGGGCGTGTTATGCTGTGGAGATGGAGGCGATTGTGAGATTCCCTCTGCTCATATCCTTGGCACAAATGACCCATAGCATGCTCGCCTTGGCTTGCGTAGCGACAGGGCCGAAATAATAACCATCAGACAGAGGGATGACTTTTGGCTGTCAACCCTTGTTGGACCCTTCGCTTACCTGTTCCCAAATTGGTGGCCTTGTTTCACACCTGCTGAGAGAGGAGTGGCAAAAATTACGTACTCTAATAAAAAACCACCTATGTAGTCAGTTGGTCTCTCTGCCTGTCTGCGCCATCGTCCATCCTCAGGACACTGTGGGCCCCTTGTGCGCAACGCGCGTTCCGCTGCCAAGGCACAGCAGGGGAGTTGTGGGGTGAGGTTAGGAGAGCAGTGGTTAGCTCCACCAGCATCCTGCTGCCTCAGTCCTGCAGTCGGATGATGAGTAGCTTTCTTTCACCCACGCGCAGTAGTGAGGAGGAAACTACTAACCAGCCGCAGCAGCAGCAGCATCCAGTGTGGACCTGGGTGCAGTGAGCTCAAACAACAGGCTTGGGCCTACTCTGGAACAGCACACTGCCCAAACCGTGGTAGGACCAATACCCTTGACTACTGTGGCAACGGAAACTTGACCTATGGGCCCCAACCTAGCTGAATTTTGCCCCTTGAAGAAAGGCCTGTCATGGCCCAGGCCAGTACGGTGGCATCGGAGCGAGCGTGTTTTATTTGCTGGCAGTAGGTATTGTAACTCCCGCGAGGACACGACTGTCCCACCCAAAGTGTTGAGAGACCTCACGTTTTGTGAAAATGAAATCATGCGATGGATTAGTCAGGATTTCAAACCACCAGTTCTGTACACAACTGAGCTAAATCCGCCATGAGATCATGCCCCAAACATGAGCTACTTTCAGGTCTCCTCACACACTGCTGGTGTGTTCCATTTTTATGTCCGTAGTGGGTTCTGGCAGATTACTGGACCCCCCCCCCTGCCTCCCATATCATGCTGCCAGGCCCCCTAATCACTGCCGATTGGCCCCTATTCTGCCTCCTTCATGCTGTCTGCCCAGGTCCGCAGTCTCTCCAATGGGACCCCAGTACGGCCGTCACCTAATGTGCAGCAGACTCCATCGCCACACTCTGCCATGTTGCACTTTTAGGTCTCCTCACACACTGCTGGCAGTATGTGATACGACATTTTTTGTCATATGGTGCTGGCAGTATTACGGGCCTCACAAATACTGCTGCCTAGGCCCCTAATCTCCAATGGGCCCCTATAACCGCCTCCTGCATGCTGCTGCCAGGTCACCACAGTCTCTTCTCAGGGTCCCCTGTAAACGGCCTCCCAATTGCTGCTGTCCTCCATCGCCGTCTACACTGCCAAGTGTGCCACTATCATGTCTCATCACACACTGCTGGTTGTGTTCAACTTTTTGTTCATAAGGTTGCTGGCAGACTACAGGGCCTCCCATAGCTGCAGCCAGGGCCCCTAATCTGCCATGGGCCCCTTCTACCGCCTCCTACATGCTGCTGGCCATGTCCACAGTCTTCTCATGGGGTATCCCTGTAACGCCTCCCATTGGCTGCTGTTCTCCAACGCCCTCACACTGCCATGTGCCCACTTTCAGGTCTACGTCACACACACTGCTGGTTGGTGGTTAACATTTTTTGTCATAGGGTGCTGGCAGATTACTTTCCTCCCATAGCTGCTTGCCATGGGCCCCTAATTGCAGCCATGGGCCCACTATATACCGCCTCCTCATGCTGCTGCCAGGTCCACAGTTCTCTCATGGGTCCCTGTACGGTCTCCCATAGCTGCTGTCCTCCATCGCCTCACTCTGCCATGTGCCACTTTCAGCGTCCTCCTCACAGACACTGCTGGTGTGTTCACATTTTTTGTCATAGGGTGCTAGGCAGATTACAGGGTCCTCCCCATAGGCTGCTGCGGGCCAGCCCCTAAATTCTGCCATGTGGGTCCCTATACCGCCTCCTCATGCTGGCTGCCAGCGTCCACAGTCCCTCTCATGGGTCCTGTACGGCCTCCCATTTGCGCGGTCTCCATCGCCACATCTACTGCCATGTGCCACTGTTCAGGTCTCCTCACACTGCTGGTGGAGTGTTACAATTTATTGTCATAGGGTGCTGGCAAGATTACTGGCCTCCCATAGCTGCTGCCAGGCCCCTAATCTGCCCATGTGCCCCTATACTCGACTCCTCATGCTCATGCTGCTGCCAGGTCCCAGTAGTTCTTCCATAGCCATGTGCCACTTTCAGGTATCTCCTCACACTGCTGGTGTGTTCAATTTTTTTGACATATGGTTGCTGGCAGATTACGGGCCTCCCATAAGCTGCTGCCAGGCACGTAAATCTGCCATGGGCCCCTATACCGCCCTCCTCATGGCTGTGACGTTTGCAAACAGGTGGAATTCAAACCCTACACATGTTTAGAACCCCGCCTTTACGAACAGCGAAAGGCCATCACAGATTTCATGATGTTAAAAGCGGATATAATGTACTCCCTGTGTAACTTAGATGTCAGCCATTGGCAAGCTCATGCGTGGGACACCTGCGCTTGCTCAGGCCCTTTGAGGAGGCCACGCTATTCAGTGAGTCGGCAGGACTATTGGGATGAAACAACGTCATTCCTCTGTTGCATGTCCTGGAACAAATGCTGATTAACAATGGCTTCTGGTCATAGGTGCGGTAGTCGTGGCGCATCAAGATCACAACGCCACATGAACCCCTGTGGGGGCAAGGACAGGAAGGAAGAGGAGGACGTGTAGAGGAGGACCATTGGTGTCTCTGGAATTAATTGTGAGAGTGAACTGGTGTGGTTTTTTACACTCAGCGGACAGGAGTGGAGGAGCATGGAGCATCTGGTAGAGGAGGAGGAGGAGGAGACAAGAGGACCACAGACGCACCGTGGCAGTATGCTGGTGTGGAGATGGAGGCAGGGAGTCCCTCGCATTTCCTTGGCACAAATGGGCCCATAGTCATGACTCGCTTTGCTTGCGTTAGCGGGACACGCCTAAGAATTAAACCATCAGACAAGAGGGATGACTTTTGGCTATCCACCTTGGTTGGACCCATCGCTTACCATTCCCAAAATTGGTGGCCTTTTTCAACAATCCTTTTTTCTATTTACATTTTCGGTCATAGGTTGCTGGCATGATTACAGGCATCCCATAGTTGTCCGGGCCGCCAGGCCCCCCCAAATCGGCCATGGGCCCCCCGTTAACGCCTGGTCATGCTGCTGCTTGCTGGTCCCACAGTGTGGTACCTTGGGTCCCTGTACCGTCCTCACCATAGCTCCCACTTCCTGCCATGATGCCACGTTGAGGTCTCCTCACACTCCTGGCGTTTTTCCTTTTTGTCATAGGTTGCCTGTGCAGATTAAAGGCCTCCCATAGGTGCAGCCAGGCCCCCAAATCGGGCCATGGTGCCCCCGTAAACGCCTGGTCACGCTGCTGCTGAGCCCACAGTGTGTGACCTGTTGGGATCCCTGTTAACGCCTCCCATTGCTCCCACTCTGCCCCACTCTGCCCATGTGCCCACTTTGGAGGTCTCCTCACACTCCTGCAATTTTTCTTTTTTTGTCCATAGGTTTGCTGGCAGATTTAAAAGGCCTCCCCATAGGTGCCCCGGCCAGGCCCGCAAATCGGCCACCAAGGCCCCCGTTACCGCCTGGTCCACGGCTGCTGCATGAGCCCACAGAGTGACCTGGGTTCCCTGTAACCGCCTCCCATTAGCTCCCAAACTCTGCCATGGTGCCAACTTTGAGGTCCTCCTCACACTCCTGCGGTTTTTCCATTTTGTCCATAGGTTGCAGGCAGATTAAATGGCCTTCCCATAGGTGCCGCCAGGCACCACAAATCGGCCATGTGGCCCCCGTAAAAAACGCCTGGTCCACGCTGCTTGCTGGTCCCAGTTGTGGCCCTGGGTTCCCTGTACCGCCTCTCCCATTGCACCCACTCTGCCATGTGCCACTTTCAGGTCTCCTCACACTCCTCAAACCCAACCTGACACGCAACTCGCATCCTGCGTTTTTTCCTTTTTGTCAATAGGTTGCTGGCAGATTAAAGGCCACCCATAGATGCCGCCAGGCCCCAAATCGGCATGGGCCCCCGTAACGCTGGTCACGCTGCTGCTGGTCGCCACAGTGTGACCGTGGGTCCTTGTACGGCCTCCCATTGCTCCCACTTGCCATGTGTCACTTTGAGGTCTCCTCACAACTCCTGCGGTTTTCCATTTTGTCATAGGTTGCTGGCAGATTACAGGCCTCCCCATAGGTGCCGCCAGGCCCCAAATCGGCCCCATAGGCCCCCGTGACCGGCCTGGTCACGCTGCTGCTGGGTCCCACAGTGTGACCTGGGTCCCTTGTACCGCATACCATTGCTACCCCACTCTACCATGTGCCACTTTTGAGGTCTCCTCACACTCCTGCTGGTTTCCACTTTGTCATAGGTTTTGCTGGCAGATTAAAGGCCTCCCATAGGTGCCGCCAGGAGCCCAAATCGGCCATGGGCCCCCCCCCCCGTACCGCCTGGTCACGCTGCTGCTGGGCCACAGTGTGACCTGGGTCCCTGTACCATCGCCCTCCATTGCTCCCAACACTCTGCCATGTGCCACTTTCAAGTCTCCTCACACTCCTGCGGTTTTCCATTTTGTCATAGGTTGCTGTATGGCCTCCCATTGCTGCTGGCTCGCCCCCCCCCTCCACCGCCACACTGTGGCTCCAAACATGGTTTTGGCCCCGTGACTGGCCAATGATGAGTGAAATGTGCGGTGATTCTAAGATCGACGGCACTCATCTGCATGTCATACTGACTGACAGTATTATTTCTCTTCCCCAGCAGACTCCAAGGGCATTTAAATTAAAGGTACAGTGTTTTGCACTAATATTAAGTCTCTCTGAAGCCTAGAAACACCCTTTTTTTAAGTTAAATTCACAGCGAATATATTCGACTCGAATCAAATATTTTCCACGAATTCGCCGAATCAGTCAAATCGAATTTTTGAATACTTCGCTCATCTCTAATCAAGACCTTGCAGAGAGGTCCACGTATGACGATTGGTGTTCCACTGTGTCTGGAGGACACAGCTGCACTCTCCCAGGGAGTACCCACAAGCAGAGGGCGGGGAGGCCGTTTATAAACGGCCACCACCCACCCTGCACTGCCACCATCCAGCCGTTTATATACATGGGCCGGACAGGGAAGGAGGTTAAAATCATTCACGTCTCTTTAACAAGTATTCCACCGACCTCCCCAATTGCTTTTCACCTATCTCCCCCTTAGGATATCCCATTGCCTATCTAAACAATCCTACCCCTTTTACAAACTTCTTAAACCCGCTTGGAACGTACATCTCTCGCCCCACTAACTGAGGCCAAAGGTATTTCACGTTTCTGCCTTATCTTAAAGCAAAAGAAATCATTCACGGAGGTGAGACCACTCTCTCCAATGGGAGGAAGATCTTGCCTACATTTATAACTGAGCAACAATGGCTTCACGCATTTCAATCAATTTACAGAGCCACCTGCTGCTCCGCACTTTGGGAATTAACACAAATATCCCTTAGAATTCAGGCTTAAAATTTCCAGTCAAGACCTACTAGCCAGGCACAAACCTTACTCTCCACCAGTTGCCCCCCCCCCGCTCCCAGCCCTGCCCCCTTAAAGCTTATGAAATTACATTTTTTCTTTAGAATAAAGAGTTCAAAATATAAAAAACTACAATTATAACATAACTTTATTATGTCCATTTAAACATAACAGCAATATTAATAGCAATCATCGGGGGCAATCAAAATATCAAGTTTTACAGCTTTAAACCTGTAGTGAACATTTTGTATGTTTTTTTGTTTATCTCCTGCATCTTTAAAAAGAGACTTTAGTAACTAATGTCTCTTTTAAAAGATGTAAGTTTAGTTTACAGAACTATAGCATAAGAAAAAGTGCTTATTTTGATGCCAAAAACATGGAATAATATTTCCTGTAAACATGTTGTATTTTGTATCTCCAGCAGAGACCTTAGAGAAGCGCGGCATTAAGAAAAAAGAAGAAAGTGCCTCTTATGATGGCCAAAAAAACATGGCATAAAATAAATAACAATAGTAAACATTTTGCATTTTTTTATCTCCAGCATCTAATTAAAAGAGAACTTAGAAGTAGTGCATTAGGAAAAAACATAAAAGTGCTTATTTAGATGCCACAAAATCTGGCATAACAATAGTAAACATTTTACCAAAGATGTGCTAATAGAGCAGCCATGGTTTGTGTTGCACAGCAGGACCAAGACTCGTGTAATACCCTTTTTCTGATGCAAAATACCACTCCAATGGCTGTGTGTGGATTGCAATCTATTCAATGAAGAAAAAAAACACCAAAAGATTTTTTTGGATGACAATAAGCAGTAGGAAGCCAGTTTCACATCAAGATTTGCAATGGTTTTCATTGTACAGCAGAACCAAGACTTGTGTAATGTCCCCTTTCTGATGAAAATACCACTCCAATGGCTGTGTGTGGATGTAATCTTTTAGTGGTGGTCCATTAACAGCAATCATCAGAAGATCATCCAAAGTCCTCCAGTGTCAGTGATGAACGATAGACCGTCTTTATTCTGATTTGGTAGCTAAAGCCACGTTCACATGAGGCGGTTGTTGGGGGAAGTACGGCACAGAAATTGACCAGAGGGAGTATGTTGCTGAATCTTCTGCTGATTCAGTCTTTTCAGAGTCTCATTAAAAGAGTCCATTTGGAATGGAGAGTTTGAGGTCAGCCCACTCTGCTTCTAACAGCTCAATTTTGTCTTCAAAACCGATTATCAAAAACATGTTTTGCAATTCTGTGCAACTCAGTCCATCCCAAGTTGAGGATGTGAGCTTTGTCTGGCCAAGACACGCTGTTCAATATATTGAATGATTGTACAATATCTGAGGAGAACGAGAAAGCCTCAAAATGAAATCTCTTTCTGCTTTGGCCAATACAGATTGGCCTATAGACTGAAATTCTCTGTCACCAGCTTGGAGGTTGGTCAGCTGCAGCCCATGTACAGTTGTGTCCAAAATTATTCAACCCCCAATGCTGTAAAGGGGTTTAGGGACTATAGTGTACATTTGGAATTGTATTCAGAAATCAAATCCTACAAGGACGTTGTAACTACCCAAATGCAACTAAAATGACATCAATTGTTTATGTAATACAGTAGTAAATGGTTCTTATGTGGTTTCTTCATTGCCACAATTATTCAACCCCTTAAAGACTACCACTCTGAAGAACAGAGGTTCATACAGGTGCTTTCCATCAGGTATTGAAAACACCTGTGGATGTCACCGAGCAGCAATCAAGCATAATAAGCACCAATTAGGCAGCTTTAAAATGACTGTGATACTCAGCTCCTTCTAGACATTTACTGGTGTGGTTACAAACATGGTGAAGGCAAGAGAATGGTCCAGGAAGACAAGAGAAGAGGTGATTTCTCTTCACAGGAAGGGCAATGGCTATAAGAAGATTGCAAAGATGGTTAAACATACCAAGAGACACCTTAGGAAGCATCATTCGCAAATTCAAGGCAAAGGGCACTGTTGAAACGCTACCTGGTCGTGGCAGAAAGAAGATGCTGACTTCGACTGCTGTGCGCTACCTGAAGCGTAGAGTGGAGAGAAGTCCCCGTGTGACTGCTGAGGAACTGAGAAAAGATTTGTCAGATGTGGGTACAGAAGTTTCACAGCCCAGACAATAAGACGCACACTGCGTAATGAAGGCCTCCGTGCCAGAACTCCCAGGCGTACCCCCTTGCTGTCTCCAAAGAATAAGAAGAGTCGACTGCAGTATGCCAAAAGCCATGTGGACAAACCACAAAAGTTGTGGGATAGTGTTCTGTGGACTGATGAAACAAAATTAGAACTGTTTGGGCCCATGGATCAACGCTATGTTTGGAGGAGGAAGAACAAGCCTATGATGAAAAGAACACCTTGCCTACTGTGAAGCATGTGGTAGGGTCAATCATGCTTTGGGGCTGTTTTTGCTTCTGCAGGTACAGGGAAGCTTCAGCGTGTGCAAGGTACCATGAATTCTCTTCAGTACCAGGAGATATTGGATGGAAACGTGATGCAGTCCGTCACACACCTGAGGCTTGGGAGACGTTGGACCTTTCAACAGGACAATGATCCCAAGCATACCTCCAAGTCCACTAGAGCATGGTTGCAGAGGAAAGGCTGGAACATTTTTTGGAGTGGCCATCGCAGTCACCAGACTTAAATCCGATTGAGAACCTCTGGTGGGACTTAAAGAAAGCAGTTGCAGTGCGCAAGCCTAAGAATGTGACTGAACTGGAGGCCTTTGCCCATGAAGAATGGGCGAAGATACCCGTAGATCGCTGCAAGACACTTGTGTCAAGCTATGCTTCACGTTTAAAAGCTGTTATAACTGTAAAAGGATGCTGTACTAAGTACTAAGATTGAATGTCACTTGGGGTTGAATAAAACTGATAATGCTGTGAGCACAGAAAAGACATTTGTGGTTATTTCATTATAACTGTTATGTTATATTTGTCTGACCTACAAGTGCCTCTTTAATGTAAATGTAAGCAAGATGACTGAATGATCAAAAGCAATGTCAAACTGGCCAAAACACTCAATTTCAGTGGGGTTGAATAATTTTGGACACAACTGTAGTTTTCCATCTTCTGTAAACTTACTAAGACATTCAAGTTCGTTTTTTCCTTGACTATTGCACCAGAGATAGGCTCGTCCACTTCCCCATTACCACCATTACCGTTCCGCACCAACCCCCTTCCCTTAACCAATTATACTAACAAAAGACAGACACCAATTTTGGAGTAAATGGCCAACATGGTCTTTTATTAACAACTCAAGTTACAATACACCAACCATTCCTTATAACAAAAACCCACAGAATTGTTGTTGGTCTTCGAAGGCACCCCAAAACGATCCGAAATGCACCTGCGGACAACCATATACACTAGGCCTCCAGCCGCAACCAACCAGCTCGGAGACAACCATACCGTCCGCAGTGCAGCACCACCACCTTCCAGTTAAACCTTGGTTAACTGGGAATGTCCCCGGGCATCCCATACCACGGATGGGTCCCCCACATCATTGTTGTTTACCTTCCAAATAAGAACCGCCTCCAAAGACCAACAACCGCCCATGAACCAACATAATCCCCCCTCTACCTGAGGGACCCAAAACTCACCCAAACAGGGAGGACGGGAGGGAAGCTCACACTCTTGCCGTCCAGCTAACTGACGCCCCCTCACAGAACCCCACCCCTAAACAAAAGCAAAACCCCACTAAACCCCAGCCTCTACCAA